TTCTACAGACGGGTATCACAGTACTCAAGCCTGAAATCAAGTGATTACCAATGTGTTGAACGATATATTTGCTCCCTACACTACAGTCTTTAAAACAAATACACACGTCACTGAGAAGTCTGTACTGTAATATTTTCAGAAATGATGGATAACATTTATACTGATTGCCTGTTAGGTTATTACGATATTAGTGGTAGATTTATAGTCTACGATAAACGCTCTGATTTTTGATCTCAATCTTAGTAGAAAAAGTCCTATTGAGCACGTCGCAGCATCGTTTTTTTCATACTTTGATGTGGGGGTTCTCAAAGCCCCACTTTTGGAGAACAATTAAATCACACAAAACTAACTTGTGTTTAAGTGAAAGGCTCACAGTTCAGAGTATGAAACCACCTAAACGAAAAGATTTAAGAGTCGTGATCGAAGATAAACCTAGCAACATGAAATAAGTGATGAGCCACAATTACGTTGACAAGAAATAGATATTTATGTCAAGAATTGATATAGTTGATGAACTGGAAAGTCTAGAAGCACAGACGGACTTGTGAGAAGATGCTACCTGATTACTTGAGTGAAAGGGGAGACCGTTATTGTCGATGTATGGTGGTGCTGTTGAAAATCTTAGGTAATATGTTAGTCTATCTTAAACCTGCGCATTGTTGTGGAATTTTGAGCCCACGTAAATAAAGAAACACTTTTACACACCTGATAAGGCGGCGGAAGAAAGTGATCATTTGGAACATTTTTCAAAATTTTTTTAGCAATCTGGTACTTAACATCTCTACGAAACACCATCTCTACGAGTTAGCAGCTGTTCAAGGCCAAATTTGTTTTCACCGCTGATTACAACGTGAAGTATGTTTTGTAATGAGCTGAAATAACCCAGTTCACTTCCTTATGTACACGTCCTGATATTATGAAACACTCTCAAGAACGTTATTCGGTACCGATCTGTGCTTAGACGGTGGGTTATGAAAGTCATTGCGAATTTATGTACTTCATTTGTGATAGATTTCAAAATTTGGAAGGAAGGATGGAACCTATGTTAACTCCAAAAGGATTCATTTGTTGGTAATCGAGGCTAGAAACCGAACTTTATGCATACTCATATTAGAAGACAATCTACTATAGGTAGGAATCAAAGGGTATCTTCTGTGCTCTGTGTTCTCTTAATTTGACGAATAACCTTACATATCAGCGAACATGTCCTCAAAAAACGTAGTTTTGTTAGTTAGCGACATTTTCCCCGACCTATTTAGTTTTACTTAGCACACTGTTGCTGAATGAGCTCATCATTCATCGTCACCAGGTCACCATTATGTACTCCGCGCCATGCATCTCGCGCAACTATCAGCCTGTAGTAGTATTGATCCGTAACTGTACGATCTTTGAAGCTGGACGGATAGTTACTTAGAAAACGTACATCCTACATGTAACACTAAAAGTGGTTTATACGGAAACAGTAATCGAAATGGCATGGCATGACGACGTGGTCACTCTATGTGACCTCTTTCTTTTTTGTATTAAGTATATTACTCTCTTCATAGCCAGAGTATATCCTTCAGAAGTGATTAACGTCATACTGCCGATTGCCACAACAGGTCTAGTCAGTGTAGACTATGCTTCGACTTCAACGTGATATATTATAAATTAAGTTGTCGTTTCATGTAAAATCTAAAATTTTGGGATTAGGTCTTTTATTATAGTAACACAGGCAAATATACTATTACCGAGTTAGACAGAAATTCTAGATTGGTGATAACAACCAAAAAATGCAGTTTGTTATTAATTCGCATATTTACTTTAATCTAATCGATTGGGTTTAACTTATCCAAACACATTATTCTATTAGTCTGGTGACTCGTACTCACGTGCAGTGTATTGTAATATTGAGGAGTATTCATAGTCACCTCGCCAGCTCGATCGATACGAATTACTGATCTACTACTCCTATGATTTTCCATTTGTGGTTCACCAACAAGCTTTAGTAGCATCTACATGCTTCAGTGAGATAGACTTGTTGAAACACCAGCCACTAGCAAATATGGCGCTTGATCAACGTAGGTATGCGTAAACTCGCAACTGATGTGAGCAAGGACTGGATAATTACGTAGATGTAATTCGGTATACTATTTCTCCACTTGTTATACTAATCTATTCCAAACTATGGACTCTCGCTTAGTATGTATTTTTTCGATTTACCACTATGCTGTCCTACACTTTCGGCTGCCGTTAGTTGATTTTCGCATTCCTCCATGATCAAGTAGAGAATATAACACATAGTTTCAATTATAAACGCTTTTTAGGCGTTTTTAGTCTTTCAATAAAAGGATATGGTCGTTTAGGGTCGGTGGAAATGAATAAACTCCAAGACCTTAAGGATCTCAATGACATTCAACGCGTTGTCCCTCTCACTTCTTAACAGAGAATTCTAAACACAGTCGAACTATGAGCCAAAAATCAAGGGGTTCGAATCTTTATATAATCAATGATAGACGCTTCTATAAATATCTTATCTAAGCTGATTAGTTAATGCAAGTAATGCTTAATACGTTGTATCCAGCCAGGATCTAGAGTGGATGCTCGACAGGTTTCCTTCGGCTTAGGTATTGTCAGCAAAGTTAATAACGCCAGTTTTATCGTCGACGACTTGCAGGGCGATCCGTCTTGGCGATTCGCTTGCCACTACAATCTTATTTTACGTTTAAAATGCTTCGGTTTTTGTCAGTGATGGTTAATATATGGTAGGTATAATTGTGGTTAATTGCACCAAACGTAGAGGACGCAACAATGAGAGATTGCCTTCAGAATTCAGCTACACAGAAGAACTTGTGTCAACTAATCATTCAGATTTGTCTGAAGTGCACCTTTAGAAGAACTGAAACTGAGCATGGACCACGAGACATGACCTAAGCTTCAATGATATAACTGTGTGAAAATTATTTATTAGCATTTTACAATGTTATGGAATGCAATATTTCAATGACTATGCATGAACATCAAATCTAAAACTGTCCGCTGCGGGTATCAAAAGCGTCTGAATTCGGATTCACGCTGTACTGAAGCAATTTACATCACATTTGTTACGAGTCTACGACAGACTTATATAACCGATTTCCAATGAACTAGCCCCATGACAATAATCTAGTGAAACTAGCTTTTTTGAATGTCATGCAACAGTTATTTATATTAGTAATGAGTTTATAATCAAGGAGTTAAAACGTGTTATTGGTAAAAAAAGATCTAAAATGAATTAGCTTGGTAAATGATCAATATGACGCTGAAAGTTTTAGTTTCGACGAGCGGTACGGTTTTTGTTTTTTATCGTGACCAAATCCTATCACATTCCATCTAAGGCACTTCTCTTTCATTAGGTGATTAGGTAGACATCTTTGTACTTCTACATATTTGATCGCGTTCAATCATACTAACTTTATCAACAAATATTGCTCTCTTTTTGTTTGTTCTCTAGTATTCGTCCGTGAAGTATTTATGATATGGATGCCAGAAAAACAAATCGATGTAGAATAATGGACACCGTGTGACTAGACAGTTTGCTCCGAATGGCGGTTTTCAGATCTGTTAAGCGAATATCATCCCCAACTTCCGAGCCCGAACTAGTGACGAACAAATGCGCATTGGTCCGTTCATTCAACAACATGTTCATTCACTGATACAACAGCACTGGAACACTGCCAAATACGACTCTCTCGTTTTCTCGATTGTTGAACTTCTGTTCGCGTTAATTGTTGAGCATGCATTTTCTCGGTTATTTCAGGTTACTAAAAAAGTAATAAGGATCCTCCGGAATCGATAAACTGAAAGATGAGTAAAAAAGAAGGCAGCAGAAACTGGTCGGGAAATAAATGTTATGATTTCAAAATGTTTAACCTAGTTCTTAACACACGCAAAACAGAAATTCGGCTGAACATTATGCAAGAGTTGGACAGGGTGGGACTATAATAATTAATAATAACTCGCCTTATAGATATTTTAACAAGTCACATTAAAATGGATAGTAATCATTGTTTGTTAATTGTGTAGCGTGGCGTCGAGTCGAAATTGACTATGAACACCGCTACCAAGAAACACGTGCCAAATAGATCAGAAGGCGTAAGAAGCTCGTTCCAAATGACTCCATAAAATCCCCGAGAAGCCGAATACCAGAAGGCAATTAATGGACCAAGTCGAGGTTTATTAGCTGGCGATCTCGTGGCATCGAAAGGATACCGAGATCGTGCCAGGATACAACCTTGGTTACAGAAGGTAACCGAATTCGCGCGAAGTTACAATCGAAGTGTAAGTAAAGAATGGAAGCACGAAATAGCTGTCATTAGCACAGTCAAACAAAAGCACATTAAAACAAACACTGGTACAGTTGGTTATAATAATAATTGTTTTTATTAAACCAGTCGTGTTCTCGTGATAAATGTGAGTCACTACAGGAGCCCCCCGCTAGAAAGGGTTTACACTTTCGATAAATAGCGGTTTGAATCGTGGGACTGATCGGCTGACGAGCGATTGTAGGACGGAAGAATTGGCGAACAGGAAAGCGATCGTTGATCGTCGAGTTGCCAACGAAGGTCGTTTTCGGAGAACGGTACCAGGAGCGATGTGCTGTATTTGTTGCTTGAGTTGGCATGCTACACCAGAGTGGTTTGTATCCAGAATCTGAAGAGGGCGTTCGTAGGGTGCGGACCAGAAACGCTGCAGACGTAGGACGAAACCACGTTGAGCCAAAAGACCAGAAGCGACCATAACGACCAAGTTCGAGACCAAGCGTATGCCAAGCATTCGAAACCAAATATCGACTGAGTGCGTTGACAAGAGCATGGGTGGCCAGGCCAGCTTTCGCCAAAGTTGACTGAAGTCGACGGAACCAAACGGAGATGGTCGAAGGCGTGGGCTCAGGAAACAAAAAGAAAATCAAAAAAGAGAAGAGTGTAGCATGCGTGTAGTATAGGAATAATCCTACACCGTATCGTTTTTTAACTGTGCGGCTAGTCGCGGAAGCGTACGGGTAACCGTACTCGGCGACCGGAACGTGAGACGGTAGTCTCGTTCGCGTCGCGTGAGCCTGCAATCTCATCCGAAGTCAAGGGCGGCGTGGTCTGCTGATCTGGACGTGAGACTGTCGTCTCATCCGTAGACGGTGCAGATGACGCGTGCTGTTGACTGGGACGTGAGAATGAGGTCTCAGATGTATCTAGCGTGGGACCTGAAGATGGTTTGAGGATCCCGCTAGTAGGTTTGCTAGGTCTAGCATTGAATCTCAGGTTATCAGATAGGGCACTGTCATCGACGTGTGCTGGTTTGAGACGATCAATGCTGACGATCTCGACGCGTCCATATCGATCAACCTTGAAGGTCTTTTCGTGACGAGCGATCACGTGAAAAGGGCCTTCGTAAGGTTGTTGCCAAGGTTTGCGTACCGAATCTACTCGTATGAAAACATGTGAACAGGTAGATAACTCTCGAGGGAGAGCGACCTGTCGATGTTGTATTCGAGTTGACACCGGAGACAGCGTTCGCATAAATGCAGACAGTCGATGGACGTAGTCTGATTTACCGAAATTAGGTCTGCTCCGTGGTGTGAAGAATTCTCCGGGCAGACGCAATGTCGTGCCGTATACAAGTTCAGGGCGGAACATTGGATATCTGCCTTTAAGCTCGTTCTGATCCCTAAAAGAACGAGCGGTAAGGTTTCGTGCCAGTTGCCGTTTTCGTGTGCTCGTATAGCACTTTTAAGTTGGCAGTGAAACCGTTTACTTAACCATTTGGTGCTGGGTGGTAGACGGATATGCTTATGCGTATGCATTCCGTACCAAGCAGCCGGGTCAGCGAGGAGAATAGTTAATAGGGAAACATTTCTCGAATAAAGCGTGGAATTCATCGTCACGCGAATAAAAAGTAACAAGGATTCGGTACACATACATGTGAGTCTATTATATTAATACTATTCTTATCGTTATCCGTCATGTCGCGTATATTATATATTAAAAAATATGAAAATATACGACAGACGTGGATAGATAAATCATAGACTCACCGAATTGGCTTCTTTGGAAGATTTGATCAGAAGTTGAGGCGTGTTCCAAAATTCGGGTCACCAATGTAGCGTGGCGTCGAGTTGAGATTAACTATGAACACCGCTACCAAGAAACACGTGCCAAATAGATCAGAAGGCGTAAGAAGCTCGTTCCAAATGACTCCATAAAATCCCCGAGAAGCCGAATACCAGAAGGCAATTAATGGACCAAGTCGAGGTTTATTAGCTGGCGATCTCGTGGCATCGAAAGGATACCGAGATCGTGCCAGGATACAACCTTGGTTACAGAAGGTAACCGAATTCGCGCGAAGTTACAATCGAAGTGTAAGTAAAGAATGGAAGCACGAAATAGCTGTCATTAGCACAGTCAAACAAAAGCACATTAAAACAAACACTGGTACAGTTGGTTATAATAATAATTGTTTTTATTAAACCAGTCGTGTTCTCGTGATAAATGTGGGTCACTACAATTGCTTAACATATAGGCAGTACAAATATTTTGTGTTTAGAAATAGAAAAGCAATCAATATTTTATAAATGCTTTTGGTTTTGTCTTTGGCTTAAATTAGAAAGCCAAATAATTTTCATCTCGGTGTGGTGTCCGTATGAGATGATTTCCAATGGCATCTGCATTAGTAGGATTACTGAAAGAGCGAACGTATAAACACAGAAAGGAATGATCGCAACTAATGCTAAAGTTAGTTTGCCAAATTTGATACGAATTATTTAGTTTCGTGAAGGTTTCACCGAGCTTATTATTACTTAATCTTGATAGAATTTAGTAGTACAACTAGTACGTAGGAACTGTCATCAAATCGTGATAACTGTGTGCATTCGGACAGATAGCTAAGAGCAGTTCGTTAAACATGGGTGTATTCATGACAGGCATGCTGTAGACTCAATGTTATTTATATTCATGCCTACCGGCTGATGATACATACAAGTTAGTTGCAATTATGTAGTTTAGCATAAGGTAGAAAAGGAAGTACTTGAAATTGTGGTGGATCCCAGCAAAAGAGCTTATTCAAGATATGTCAATACGCAAGGTTATTAATAATATACCAAAAGAGTTAACAGTAAAACCCTAGGTGTCTGTCTATGAGTAAAACCAAAAGTTAACAAATTACAGTTAGAATACAAATGGTATATTAAACAAAAAGGTAATAACAGTTGTTATGAAATGAATGTTACTTGTAAGGCGCTCTCTGAGATAACGACCACAAATGAGTTCACTTGATTAACGAAGATTCGTCTGAACGAGATGGTACCAACGGCGTAATGAGAAAGACTGTATCCAATAGTATTATTCAATAATAATCCGGGCCAAAAATTAAACGTAGTGTAGGAAGGCCTAGAACGACGTCATAACATTGATATAGTCTTCAATAAAAGGCCGTGGCCAATAAAGCAGAAGAACAGACGGCGGAGATAGCATTTTATATTTCAACCAACGCAGTGGAATATTCGTATATAAGTATCCAAACAATTATGATCGTTTTTTAACAAGTGATACAGAAAAACAATAGATATTTAATAAAAATGTGGCTACATATAAAGTAACTAGTTATAGCGTTGATTGTGAATTAGCCAGTGGGGAATAGGTATTATTTTAAGTGATTCCGAAATAGAAGAAGTTCGTAGCACCAATTGGTCCAAGCTGCTTAATAATATTTCACTTTTAGACCCAGAAATATTCGTTCACTAAGTTTTAATTTTAATAATAGTCTACGGAGTTTATTTAGAATATTTGTAATGACTAATCTAGTGGTAGTTTATTCATTATATCAGTGTAACACTATTGTATCTAAATTCACTGACTGTAGTATCTAAACTATGTTCAACGTCTTTTTAAACAACTATGACTGTCAAATTCATAAACCTAAATACGTATTGCAAAAACGACTACGAACGGTTTAATGAAAACGTTAAAAACGATTTAAATGATTGTTAAATTTAGAAGGCATAGAGATGGCGTTCGGAAGACTGTGTAACAATCAGTGATCTGTCGTCTAACGTGGAAATGGTTCAGTATGATGAGAATTTGTCTCAGGTTCAGTGAAGTAGTCACGGCCGTAGGCTTTCCTTCCCTGAGTTCAGAATCAACCCATATTTATAATGTGACTACGAATTCATTTGGAACATTTTAGAAAGTACTACTACATCAGGCTTCTCAGATAACATTGTCTCTACCAAATATGCAATTAATATATTATCCAAATTGTCACATCTAATATGGTCTGCAATGTTTCATCTGGTAATAAAAAAATTTAGCGAATATCAGATTGATTATTCTGATCTTCAGTCTTCAGTAATAGGGATACCTGCGTTAATTCTGACTGATTGCCTTCGAATGAAGTTCCAGCTTCTCTCTGAAAATATACATTGATGTTGCTGATACCGCGCGTTCCGGTCATTGACTACTCGATGAGAAAAACGGGACCCTACTTTAAGTTTATTAGATCGCGGTTTGTGAAATTTCTTGCTAGGGCCTCGGGGATTATTGGCGCTGGAGGGACCTCACGTTCTATGATATGACAAGGGAAGAAGGTTTGGGCGTTGTAAGCGCTCGTAGTAAGGGAGTTAAGAAAGACTCTCCACTAATTTTATTCTCACACTCTGAACACGCTCAAGTGAGTTAGTATCCTTGATCAGACACGGGCTAGTTGCTTGGATACAGTAACCTAAGTGTGGTCTTACATAGGTGAGAGACAAATTTCGAAATATCTTATCGTCAAGGCATTTGGATGCTCGGCGAAGCGACGCACGAAAATTTTTGTATTCAAGTCATGACCTATTATTACTCCTAAATCTTTATATACTTGAACTACCATCACTAGTATAACGGTAAATATTACCCTGTCCGACATTCATGAGCATACTCTTCCCAGGATTACCTTCCAAGCTATAACCACAAGCACATCTAGCTAATTCAACTGAGTCAGCTCGAAGATCAAAATGATCAGCCTCACTTCTAATTGTTCTACAGATTTTTACATCATCCGCAAACAATGAGCGGTAATTTATTGACGTATTCATTAACGATATGAAGTGACTCCAAAAATGCAGAGGAAATTTCCATGCGACTTTTGTTTGCTGTCAGAGTTTTGCGTATAACCTATTGGAGATCGATTGAACTCTTGTTTGTTTATATTTTCAATCTAGGTCTTAGGCGGTTGTCCTTGTACAACCAGCTGTTTATCCTCTTCCGTGGTCAAGTGGGTCGGAGTTTTACTGTAAAAGTGTAGTTAGAAGTTAGCAGAAAGTTGTTAAACATTTACCCTTCTAGTCCTTTCTTTCTTAATGGGATGCAAGTCTTACTCATCTTTTCTGTAATTTGGCTCACTTTCTACGGAATATCATCAATAATCGTGGATCACTGTTACATTTTGGGTCTTGTATCATACGCGATAGACAAAATGAGAGGGTACGATAGTCACGGACATTCTTCGTCATTAATAAGAGTGCAATTGAGATTAAACCAAAAAATTACGTAGTGTGAATAGGTCACTGATTAAGTATCATTTCCATGCAAATTTCGGGTCTAATGAGAAATATACAACTTTCATGGATTGTATGTATATATGAAGCACCTCTGTGATATTCAGGCGGGAGGTACGTATTTTCTGTGCAATGTTGGAACAATTGACACCCAAAAGGTATCAATTAATAACAATTATGCCAAAAAGTAGATGTCGATGTTCATTACAATTCCATTGAAAAAAACCCACTAGTTTCATTTGTCATGCAAATGCTGGTCAGAATTGCCAAAATCTAATTTGATAGCATCAGTTTGGTAACATCCCCGACAAACTAACTAAAAATGCTGACTTAACTTTCAATTTCATCATAACTGCCATCATTTTAGGTATACGAAGGCCTTGTAACTGGTGTAATATGGTTCAGCCAATTAGAGTATGATCACAACAGAGTTGGTCCTACTATTCGAAGGATTAAAGTTCTTCCACTCGGTCTCAGTAATAGTAGGAGGTTTCTTTCGTAGTTTCCCTTATCGTTGATTCCTAACTTTGTTATCTTTTTTTCAGCAGTCGGTTTAGATTATTTCCAGCTGTTCGTCGCAAGTGATTGACTTTTCATCAGGCTACATAATTGTATAAAGCCGGTGAAAGTATTGATCTCTCAAAGGGCTTGCTGTAGGCAGCAGTTCTGTTGTTCCGTCACGTTCATCGAGAAAAAAAGAAGCAATTTGGGCATCATGAAACAGTTGATTCATTAGATTCATACCAATATGAAAGAATCGGTTGGGAGATAATTGGAAATAGTTGACTTAGTTTTTGGTGGATTTGATCTTCACTAGTAAGGTCTCAGTTCAGAATCCCGATCCGCCTATTTTGGCTTAGGAAGCCCGATAGCATCGCAAGCTTTCAAAGCAAAAAGTGCATTCACAGAGTGGATGGAACGGCATTTGCACCGTTTAGCTCTCATCATTTCTTGTAGTATGGGTAGTACGGACGACATTGTGTATCTCTGAGTTTAATTTTCAATGATTTTGTTGTATCGGTAGGGCAGTGTTGGAAGGGCTTAATTTTCAACTGCTAAACTAGGAATTAGAACCTTATCTTATCAATGGCACCTTTCCCTAATGTGACATGAGTTTGAGAACTTTATTGATTACTGAGTTATTTCAGTGAGTTAGTATAAGTTGATGGCTTAAGGCATAGTAACCTTTTTAATGCGTTGTGAATATGGCGAAATCTATGATAATTCTTACTGTTTATTATGCGAATACTGTTATACTACCCATAATGAGAATGTAGCTTTGTAGAACATGAGTAGGGAGTTCTTCCTCTTGGTTATACTAAAATATTTAACGTGAGGTATGTTAGGATAATATAGTTTGGTAAGGGTTATCACTAATCTATGGTGAATATGGAGCTTATCTTTTGCAAAGATGTAAACCGATCGTATAAATAATAACTTGTCGGTCAGTTGAATGCTTTGTGGTAGCCTTTATAAAAGTTGTCATTTAACAAGATAACTTTTCTTTTGAGGCTATTTTTATTTGGATATTTTCTGCTGTATCAGAATCAGTTGTTATATGGTTGCTCAAAATCGTTTGCAATGGCGTAGGTGCATCCACTCTTTGTTTTCTCCCGAATTCTAATCTTCTGACTTCATATCCTTTTTTTCTTCTTTTCAAGTTTATTTCACTGGTTTATAATCTTTGAATATCATCTTCAAACCCTAATCTTTCCGGTTACTGGTTATAATTTTACTACTTCTACGGGATTTGAATTGACAATTGTATCTCTGTGCTAATGTGATATGGCAGCTCGAACTGATGTACGTACGTACGAAGTTCTACGTTGTTGATTACTGACTGTTAAATGGTTGGCTATTTGCTCTAAAATTGGCATCAACTGACTTTCTGTTTTTTGAATAGCATTCATTCGACCTTTTCATACAGTTATTGAGAGGTGCATGTTCTTAATAGTGTGATCTTAAAAGCTCATGTTCCTAAGTTTCTTGACAATACACTTGACCAACAGATGTTAAAACAACCTTAAAGCGAATAAGTCATGTAATTTGTCGTGGCCACATAATTGTTTTCAACATAATAAGTCGTAAAAAGCGAACTTTGGTAGTCATTGAGTATGTACACTTTTCGATTAACTAACAAGACGAAAAGCTGTGCCAATTATCAAACACGAAATCCCTAATCTTATCATTCTGTTATTTAAGGGGTGAGCCCTCCCTCCCTCTCGAAATGCTCTCACAAGGCCACGCGTATACAGCCTCTACCAGGGAAGTCCTACTCACTGCCTTCTCGTGGCGGGGGTGTTGTCCACGAAAATGCGAGAACGAAAAGCGAATGTCCGGCGCTCTAACCGGATTCCAAACCAATGGTGCACATGGGCCCCAGTATCCTGAAGGAACAAATGGCGTATGAACCAATCGTTGGTCACCGGCTCCCATGGGACTGCATCTCTTTACGATGCTCCACTGCCTTGTGGACCAGACCTTTAGGTCAAAGGCTCTGGGTGTGGCTCCCTAAGAAGACCACCTGCTTCGGTTTGGGTACCCGGGGAGTATCCCAACCCTCACACAAATCGAATGATTTGTGTGGCGCATACATATTTGGTGCCCTCTTGTACCAATATTTATGTGTTGAAATAAGTAAATAACATAATCAGTAGGCCTGGTCAGTGATGCTTTAATGTTGTTAGAAAAGTTGTTCCTTTCTGTTGGGGATAATGGCTTAAAATAATTGTGTGTAGTAAATTTATGTTGTAACTATCCTGTATTTTTACCACAAAATCTGTGCTTCAGAGCCCATTACACTCATGTGTACTTGTTTATTAGAATAAATATCTGGTTTCGTACAAGCTATTTGCACACACTAAGTTATTTCACGATTAAGTGATCCATTTAATATTGATCTTATGAAGTTAGGCTTTTATAGATTAATTTAGACTAGGGTACTTGTCATTCTAGGTTCTATATTTCCAAAGATTTTACTCTGTGGAACAATGCAATCACAGGTATGGTCATTTAAGCCTTCTTATCTCTTCATTAACTAACATCGACTGAAGAACTTATCTACACAAACCTTTGGTTGATCAAGATGTAATATTCTAATTCGCCTATTTCCACGCAAGGGTTAAAAAATGGCATGCTACAATTTAAAATTTAGGCATCTTGTATGTGTTAACGGATTTGTTATCTATTTATTTTGTCGTTGGTAGTAAAAACCGCTCAGCTTGAACACTAAAGAATACATATGTCGTAACGGAATAACATTCATGGGATACAAATTACTGCTAGCTCAAGGGAAATGGCTATATTACTTCCTATCATCAGGGTGTCAACATTGACTAGTCAAAAATGTATTGTACATCAGCCGTAGTTGATAATTTAGTGGGCTTTGTGGACTGTTTTGCCATGAGCTTTGGCTAATTACTTTAACAGACGATACTTACTCCTTAGTTAAATCAGTTAACTCTAAATAAGTTCACTTATCTTGGAAATCTGGTCAGCCCTGATTGGTTGGTGCCTGACAAGATCTCTGCACAGATTCAAAAAGCTCGTTCAGCTTTTGCTAACTCCATCTATGGTGAGGGTGAGATATCCGTCTATTAATTAAAGGACGAGTATACTGCACGGCAGTTCGTTCTGTTTTACTTTACGACTGCGAAACGTGGCAATTAAGGGTAGAGGATACTCGTAAGTTAGTAATAGATTGACTGCTTTAACTGACGACTATAACCAGGTTACTAAGTTCTATGTTCACTACTTTCTAACCACTTTATGAGACGTTTATTTGGTGTGTAAAAACTAAAGTATTAAGTGGAATCTCATCGTAGCTTCTACCTTAACATGGTAGTCGGGTTTACCTACCGTAGTGACTCAACTGAGCCATATTGGCTGATACACGTGTACCCTTACGTCCTACCGTGCCAGACAGGTCGGTTGGAGAATAGTAAGACTAAAAGCAGAAAATTAAGGTCCGAAGATAAGGTACTGCCAATTGTAGAGGGGTGTGAGGGCAGTAGGGTGTTTCCCTCGGACAGCGTCTGCAGCGATGCTGCCTTCTCACAACAGAAAGAAAAGCTTAGAATAGGTCGACCATAAAAATGTCACACTCCACCTTACCCCACGGATTTCTGTCTCCGGCGGTAAAATATTTTAAAGTGCGGAGCTAACACCGAGAACTTCCCTTGCGTTGTCCCTTGGGCTCTGCAGTCAAACTACCAAGTCTCTAAGAATATCACTAATTCGGCTTTTTTTTCAGACCTCTCGAGAAGAAATATCCTTCCATGGTATGGGCAGCCTGGAAGCGATAGTCACCCTCATACCTCTATCAGTACCCAAGATCATCTTATTGACTATGAGATCCCTCCTTCATCTCTTAATAATTCTCATATCCACACGACTAACCCTTCTCATATATTTTTATCGTCATGCACCACTAATGCCAATGATTTGAGTTCATTAAATTTTGTTACTGGTCTCCTGAGACCACTCTCTAAACTGCGTGTTGGGGATTTTAATGTACGAACCATGTGTCAGATAGGACAACAGGCTTCTTTAGCTAGGACTTTAGAATCTCAAGTCATCGTTAGACTAGATTTCAACAGACAGTCGCTTCTACAGTGTTCGATTAAACTGAACAGTAAGAACTTGAAAATTTGGTGACACGTCGTTTCCTTGTCGTTGTATCTTAGTAAGCTCTCACTGATTATAGCTTGGAAAAAGTTGAAAATGAATTTTATGTTATCCAACCTCGGTCAAAAAAGTAAACTCTCTGACTTGGTAATAGTGGCAGTTAATTATAATGTTCAAGTAGCTCAACTGAAGCAAACCGAAAGGCACCTAGGCGGATCTTACGTTGTCGTGGCTCAGCGAACAGATTATGGCGACCGTTTGTTGCAACTATGCCCAGATAACCGTTTAATCCTGTCAAACAGCAGCTTTAAACATAAGGAAAAGCATCATCCGATGTGGTGATGAACTTAAAGAGATCAGATTTCCATAAACCATCGTTATAGGGGGTTGGTTGGACATTTTTACTCATTCTACAGCACATGCTTGGACTCAGATCATGCTCTAATTCGAGCACGTGTTTGTCTGCGTCTTACTGGATGTATAAAAGAAAACCCTTTAGAATTCAACTTAATGATGAAAAATTCAAAAGCATATTTCTGGACTAACTAGGGAAGAAGTTAGTTAATCGTCAAAATGACATCCACCACTAGGTAGCTTGGTATGATATCCCAAATGCTGTGGAAACAGCAGTGATATATACTAGTAACTTAAAACTAAAGGTTAGGAAAAATCAGTGGATTTCAGCGGTGTTTACAGCACTTTTAGATGCTCGGGAACTCACGCCTGGTCCAAAACACGAGGAGCAGATGCAGCTTAAACGTATGTTGATCAAAAGCCTACGTAACGATCTTAGGCAGTAGTGGGTAGCGAAAGCAGGAAAGGTGAAGAAGGCCACAGTGAAACGTAACATTAGACAACTGTTCAGACTTATTAAGGAAACATGTATTTAAAATACGGCTGTTAGTGAAACTATCTTGGAAAAAGATGGGACTATTACTCATTGAAATGAAGAGCGAAGCACTTTAAGGAACAGTTCAATTGGCATTCAGCCACACTTCTGTTACCCATTATCTCCAATCGGCCTCAATGACAAAGTGATGTAAGTCCTTCAACTGTGGAGGGTTGTTAAGCCTATAAGTAGTCCAAAGTGTAAGAGAGCAGCTGTGTCCGATTGACTAATTCTTAAAATTCACAAGATTGGTAGCCCAGTTTTACGTATTAGATTGACAGATCTTAGACAGAGTTTGGGAGCTGGATATAGTCCATCTAATTGGTCTCGATCGCTGATCGTTTTAATCTATAAGAAAGCAAAAATCCTCTTTTAGCAACCACAGAAGAACCAGTTTAACTAATATAGTGTCTAAAATATTCGCCTCAGTAATACTTCGAAGTCTAACTAGAGCTCATGAAGGTAAAACCCAAAAAACAGTCTTATTTCAGACCTGGACGTGAATGTATAGACCAAATATTCACCCTTCAACCGCCCCTGGAATATAGACATACTTTTCGACGTCAAACTATTGTTGTATTCCTTGACTTTAATGCGTTGTTCAACTCCACTAATCTCGAGGTTCTGTGGTTCCCGTCACTGAAAGGTGTACCGACGAGGCAACTCAACTTTGTACAGACTCTCTACTAGGACACTACATTTCGAGTCAGAGCTTATGGCCAACAATCATTGGGACTAGTTACTTTAATTGGTCTTCGTCAGGGTTGTCCACTTTCCTCATTTTTAGTTAACTTTGTCTTAGACATGCTTTCAAAAATAACAGTTTTATCGTCTGAATTAGGGATCGATCATATACCAGGAGATCCACTTGTTGACTTGGAATACGCAGATGATATAGTTCTGTTTGAAGGTGCTGAAAAAATGAAGTGTTCTGACTATCTTAAGCAACAATGTTAGCATATTTGGGATGCTATTTTTCCTTTGCAAATGTAACTTCAGGATTGACTTGCGTCATTGCCTGAATTAGTGATAGGTAGTGAAATAGTTGAACACCCACTGCTTCACTTGGGCATTTTACCAGTGCTGATGATTTAGTGTTTGACGAAATCTCGGAACAGAACCAAAGAGCTGGTTTGACTTTAGCCAACTTGAGTCACTTATGGTATGGGTCAGATATCTGGCTCCTAACCAAATAGCGAGTTCAATACTCAGCTGTTTACTGCACTCAACTTTATGAGTGCGAAACATGGCCATTGAGAATAGAGGATATTCGCGGGTTGCTAGTGTTCAATAATAGGTGTCTACGAAGCATTGCTTGTGTATTTTTGGGACCACAGAGTATGCGACTCCCGGGTTATGGATAGAGTGCTAGGTGAAGATAGTAAATAGATCGATGAGGTAGTAAATCTTCAACCCAGGTGGTTAGGACGTGTCTTACGTATGCCCAACTACCATCCACCTCGACAGGCATTGTTTTCTGGTGTAGGGGTAGGCTAAAAGAAAATGAGAGATAACCAAGCCCAAGCATGGCACTAATCCATGAAGTCACCGACAATTAAACTTAATCATGTTAATAAATGTAAACTACCTGGTTGGGGTCCGCGCGATTATCGTTACTAATGATTAGATACTTTGAATAACATGGTTCAAAATCGTTTGCAATGGCGCAAGTTCATCCATTCCTTGTCAAACCCAAATTTTGGGGTTCTAGATCCCTTATAAGGTTTTGGTGTTCTTATTTCACTAAATTGTATTTTCTTCCCGAATCGTATCTTCGATACCTAATTTTTTCAATCACTGTTGATAATGCTACCACCTCTTCTATTGTGGGATCTGTGTTGACAATGTCATCTCTTTATGCTAATGAGATATTGCAACTCGAACCGATGTACATATGTACCTAGTTTCACGTTATGACTGACTGACTTGGTTATTGATCAAGTAATACTCTCTACCCTCATTTGAGTATCGTTAATTGTTGTAATTCCCACTCAACCCATGACTTGATAACTGCGTTAGAATTTGTTATACTGTAATTTTTAATCTGCTAAAGTAGCTCAAACCATAACTTAGTAGTTCACTGTTTAACAAATATATTTGTTGTGTTCGCACGAGCACGTTTTTGCCGTTCATTAGTGAGTGGGTAGATCTATATAACCTTCCTGAATCAGGTGATTTTACGTTGGAAACACCCATCACAAAATTTTCTTTCATTGTTTTTTGTCGCATAACACATACAAATCTACAGAATGCAAACAAACGAACTTATTAATGGAATCACTGAGACAGAAGACAGTTCATATATGGAGAGTGGAACGGATATTTTGGATTTTTTAAACACATCTGATACAGAGAATGAAGATATAAAAGATATTATTGGAAATGAACCAGATAAAAGTACTGAAGAAGATCCATGCAATGAAGAAGCATCCTCCTTAACACTTTCCATAACCAATGTAGTTGTTATGGCTAGTCTTCAGTGTCATTTACGATTGAAAGAAATAGCCAGAACTAGCGTTAATGTAGAATATAAACCGCTTCAGAATGTAAGTTTAGAGGATTTTTATTTCAGTTTTACAATTTTATGTCTATTGTTGATTTGAAGGACAAATACTCCCAAATTATTTTTAGCTTAGTTAACTTACCTGGTAAATTAACTCTAGGTTCTCACGAGTAGCTAAATGTTTTTGTAATACTTTGTTTTGGCCCCCGAATGCCCTGGTACGGCCGACAGTGGGGAGAGTCAGCTCTCCCTCCCAAAATGCTCAAATGGACACGTGCATACAACCACTGCCTTCTCGTGGCGGGGTGTTGTTTACGAAATTGAGAGGATGAAAAGCGAATGTCCGGCTCTTTAACCGGGTTGGTGCACACGGAAGGTCCACCTAGGGTAGTTGGAAAGCCCTGGTTCCAAAACAATGGTGCACATGAGCCTCAGTATCCTGAAGGAAAAAATGGCGTATGAACCAATCGTTGGTCACCGGCTCCCATGGGACTGCATCTCTTTACGATGCTCCACTGCCTTGTGGACCAGACCTTTAGGTCAAAGGCTCTGGGTGTGGCTCCCTAAGAAGACCACCTGCTTCGGTTTGGGTACCCGGGGAGTATCCCAACCCTCACACAAATCGAATGATTTGTGTGGCGCATACATATTTGGTGCCCTCTTGTACCAATGGTTGTGTTTAAATAAATAAATGAATGTTTTGGTTATCCATTCTATTCATTTTATTTAAATACCAGTCGCAAATCGACCGAAGTTAAAATGCATAAAAAGTAGGCAATTCCAAACAATGTACATCACTTAAATTGACATTTATGTGTGTAATTACATTTAACAACAACGACGGTACTATTTCTAAATCAGTTAACATTCCAGCATTTGAATTTGTGGAGATCTATTTTCAATATTATCATAACTAGAAGTTTGAATATCATTTATTTTAATGACTTTTATGGAAAGGTTCGATATTTCCGTGGAGTTTTTATGTTCTGAAATCAAGATAATATGAAAAACCATAGAAAAACGTGTATTGACTATTTTTAAGTTTTCTTACTAACTTACTAGTGGAGATCGGTGTGCCTGGTTTTAAGCTACACTGTGTGATGACTAACGACATCCGTTTGTCCAAACAAAAGTGAGTGATGTAGGGCTCCAGCCTAGGATTTATTGGCTGAATCTAACGCCTTGATCATTGAACCACGTCTCCGTTATTCATAAATTGGCCAATCTCCAAGTGCTGTGTTGTGCTCCTCCAACTGTTGGTTTACACTTGAACACTGCTTTTTGATTATTAACATGATATCTTTATACAATTCCTGGTTTATAGTCAGTAGTTTGTTAATAATAATGATAATAATATTAATAACAATGTAATTTACTGACGAAGTATGAGTATGTGTATCAGGCTTTAAACCATACTATATGTATAAAATCTAATGATACCATATAGCTGCTTCAATATATATCACGAATTTTCACTATTTAAATGCTGATCAGTTAGGAAGTTTAATTTATTTATATGGTTAAATAAGAATAAAACATTGCCAGCCTTGTATAATAAATTTATAGATGTTCAATAGACCTTATTTGTTGAGTTATAGGATTAGATTCGATTACGTTGACTTTTTCTGAGCATAGAATTTCGTGATATTCATTACCTGTTTCCAATACTTATAATATATTTTCAAACCTTTACTATTATCATAAATTTTTTTCGGTTTCCCTTCATTTGCTCATGTTACTTGTAATGATTGAAATCGATGCACATATGCAGCAAGTCCTTTATAGTTTCTATGTATCTGTCTTCTATTAAAGCTTATTATATCTTACTCAGTATCCTATGCAAATTCTCGATCTCGTCAATAATAATATCATTTAGATTTTTGGTAATTTGGTCAGAGGAGTGTAGTTAACCCATCTTAGTTCGTATTATCTGCACGATTGCAATTTTTGTTCAACCCTTTTTACATGATACAATCAGTGTGCATCACAACGCTGAGTATATATCGATGTTAATAATCAATAATATAGTCCTATTGTAACCATATATTGCTTAAATACAGTTATATTATACTACCTAGTTAAATGCTCCTCTCTTAATGTGAATCTTAATATAATCCCGAAAGATATTATTTTCTTCGAGTTCATTACCGTTTTTGTGTATCCGTTTTAAGTTCTCGATTTTTGGGGATTCAATAATATAAATATTTTTTATTTGTTGATTTTCATGAATATACAGCATGTTATAATGCGTTTACGATCACCGTATACAGTAGCAACAATTTGGTCTAGCGGAAAAATTTGGTGTACTGGAGCCAATTCGTAAGCAATAAGTCTCAGTAATTTTTCTGTTCATTCTTTTTCCCCATATAGCTGTACCAAATGTCAAACATTTTACTTTTTATCAGTGTCTATAATGTAGTATACCTGATCATTTCTGAACTGTTGTTTCGTATTCACTCATTGCATTAAGCTATTTGAATTTGTTAACAACTGTATTTGAATATCCACGTTAAATTTTTTGTTCTTTTGTGGTTTTAACTAATTGATGTATAAATATGTGTAATCGAGATGAATTACCCAGTGTGGTATTCATGGTTTTTCGCTAGTAATAGCACTTTGTCTGTGTGTTGCCAAACGTTGTACAAATTATAAATTCATAAACTGTGTTAGTTATTCAGTCTGTTGGTATTTACAATTTAAAGAATGATTTATTTGTAATACTGCGCACGTCATAAATATGATAGATATCTTACTTACATGTGATATATGACAAACGGAAGTATTTGTGTGACAGTAGTTTATAGGTTATATATTTAAGCATTCAAATGTAGAGTAGTAGATTAACGATTAAAACATTTGACTTTCAATCATAAATACCATGTTGGAACTCTGCTACATCTAATTCGGTTTGAACAGTCGGGAATTATCGATAGTGTGATTTATGACGAAGTACATAAGCATGAACGTAGTAAGTTAAGTCACATTGATAAATTAAAGGGTTTGGATATATGTGTTACCCTCTTTCTTGTTCAGTGTTTGTTCGCCAATGTACGTCCGTCGAACTAACATTAATTAAAATAATAAGCCGAGATTAAGTTTACTTCAACTGTGTATAGTTATAAAAACAGAAGAGCAATCAAAGCCAGTAGTCCGCTTCATTCGTTTATGCGACTGTGAACTGTTGAATTATCAGTTTACAATGAATGGTAACTTTATATATGTAGTTTGATAGCTATGTTTTGAACAAGGACAATTTTATTAATTAGAGCGATGACACTGATTCATTAGAACATGTCTAATATAAACTATTGATTACTCTGATAAACCATGACTTCTGGTTTGAAAACAGACTGTGAAACGCCTCAGAGTTGTCTAACAGTCATGGTATTCACTCAGGTTTGTGTGAGCTTCCTGACTGGGATTCGTCAGGTGTTAGGTAGACTGGTGTAACTAAATATGTCGCCTATTTTATCCGAGTAATTTTTCGTCGTCTTTCGACTCTAGCACAGCAGGTGTTATTCAAACTGTCAATCAAGGATTTCATGAGTTGTCATCACACTGGTTTGACCAATTTGAGATATTCTTTGTCATACTATTACCCTAATTGGTACTAAATATATGAACCACTGCTATTACTTAAGAGCTTTACAATATCATTCACCGGTTCGCTTACAATAGTAATACCAGTATTAATAAGGAAGCATATTGTTATTTTTTGTTTATTTGTTTGTCAGTAACTAAACTGAAGTGATGTCGCAATTTGTGACTGGCATATCATGCAACTACTAGATAGAACATTTATGCAGTTCATTGGAGTTTATATCATGTCGTCCCACCAAACAATACTTAAGTTCAAGTTATGTCACTAAACTTTAAATACCGATTCTTAAGTTTAGATTCGGCCTCACTTTTTTCATTTCAAACATCCGTGTAATTCCTATGGTTTCTGTGATTTGAAGCTAGCTCAAAGCAAGAACCTATGCCGGGTTAATGGATTACAAAAGAAAATTAATTTTGTTAATTGCAAAATTTTTTAACGTATTCAAAAAGAAGCCTTGTTTAAGTATTTCTTTTTATTTTATACATTCGCCATCTTTTCTTTATCATCCACAGGCTTGCCAAAGCGAAAATTGGCGCTAGGCGTATTGCTAGACGAATAGCGAAATGTGGATTTCCGTGTCATTTTAGTAAATATCGTGTAGTTAATATTATGGCTACTTGTAAATTACCATTCGGTGTCAGATTAGAAGAATTAGTCAATGAAAGACCGATGCAAATGAGGTTTGTTTTCGAAGTGTTAATTATTTTTATGGTACATAAATTAGAGCATTTTTTATTCATTGGTCGTTTTACAGTAAAAGATATGTTCTTGACACATGAAATTAATAAATCATATCTTTAAGCCATTAAAGCTAATAACCACGTCAAGAACGTGATTGGTAGAATTCGACCATCATTCTTCGGTTTTTGATTTCTATACGTCATCCACTTGTCCATGGGGTCAGTCATGGACTGTCCATCTCAGTTTATTTTTCAACAGTTTAAGGTTTTAGTATCAAAGGGCATACTAATTTCACAGGGGTTATAGTGAAGTCCAGATTTTCAGTAGTTATCTAACTTAGATCGGTTCTTGATCCTAAGAAAATTCAACAGTCTCCACAACCTCGAAATGTATTTCAAATAGGACTTCTCACTGATTACTCTCAGGTTTCCAACGCTGTTTACTTTGTTTCTGTCTGTCATAGCCCTCTTGGCGTGAGTCGTAGTCGAGATTAATCATAAAGGTTTAGGTGAACATAGATCTATTCTAACGCTAGTGTTCAGTTTATTGTCTAAACATCCTACTTTCCATTAGATTTGCATCTCACTGGATTTATGTAAGATTAACCGTCGAATAATATTCGTAGTACTCATACAACAAATATTTTAAGGTAAAGTGCACATACACTCGGTCGAAGATTTTAATACACAACTGCACATGTGTAAGTCATATCAGCCCTGGCATGATGAAGGGTGGGGAGAGTCCACCCTTCCTCTCAAAATTCTCATATAACCATACGTATATAGCCATTGCTTGGGAACCCTACTCATTGCCTTCTAGCTGCGGGGATGTTTAGGAAATTGTGAGGGTGAAGAGCGAAGATCCTGCTCTTCAACGGAGTTGATTGGTACAGATGATCCACCTAGAGGAGTTGGAAAACACTGATTCTAAAGCAATGGTGCGTATGGACTCCAGGATCCTGAGGTAGTAAATGGCGTACGAACCTATTGTTGATCGCCGGCTACCACAGAACTCCACTTCCCAAGGCTGCTCTACTGTCTTGTGGATTAGACCTCTAGGTCAAAGGCTCGGGGTGTGACTTCCTAACATAAACCACTTACTTCGGTTTAAGCACCCGGTAGTATTCTAGCCCACGCACAAATCGAATGATTTGTGTTGCGTATATATATATTGGTGCCCTATTTGTACTAGTAAATAAAACTAGGATAGGATTAGGTCTAAATAACGCTAAGTGCAGGCAAATTAAGATATGGATCAGTCTATAAAGTTGATAAATTTTAATCAGTATATTACTGTTAGATGTGGAGTTTTTGGTTGGGGTCTTTGTGTTAGTAGTGAATAGTAGTTGAGAGGTCTTGGGTGATGTGGCTCAAAGTCTCGTACTGGGGCAGGTACATTAATTCTTTATACTCCCGTAGATTCTGGGTTTCGGTATAATTTCACAATTTTCATTCTGCGATATAATACCTTCTAATCCATTTTATTTTATGTCTTTCTTACTATCATCGAGACTGCTGATATCATTTTAACTCCTGCTCTCCGTTTTGCAGTGTCGTTTTGACGTGATAATGTGGTGTGATAGCTTATGAAGATTCACATTTGTGCTAGATCCGACATTGATTTTTACTTGATTTAATTAAGGCGTGCTGAAACTCTTAAAGCACAACTATTTTACTACAATAATGTATTGGCGGTTTTGTGACTTGACTATTCAAGAGAGTATTGTTTGGCAAGTTAATATTTCTATCCAGACGACTCAGGGTGCTGCTCTCTCCGAATTCGGCAGAGGATAAACTCGGAACTTATTTAGTCGATGAACCTCATAAGTAGTAAAACTTGAAATCGATAATTATCAGTCATTAGCTTACAGCTCGTGTTTATATATATATATATATATATATATATATATATATATATATATATATATATATATATATAGGAGAGAGAGAGAGGACTACACGTATTCATTTCTTTCTACCAAAAATTTCTCATTCATTCATAAAAAATGTCCGTGTTAAACAATATTGTACATATTTTCCATTTAAAGGTACTGTTCTTTCTACCATTATAAACTGTGTTTCTTTTTTTTCTTCATACTAGTTACGAACCTGAATTAGCTCCTGGTCTCACGTTTAAAACTGATCTCAACTCAAGTACATCTCTAAAACTTTTTTCAACCGGACGAATCGTCATTATGGGTGAGTGTATATTCCCTATGATGTTCCTTTATTTTTAAAGTCATTTTAACAAAATATACATGTTTGTGTGCACAAATAACAGTTATTACCTTCCTAGCCGATTACTTGATAATTATCTATTTCAAGCTTTAAAGTTTTAAGTGATATCATATTATTCTCTTTCACATGATTTGTACCTTCTAAACTGACTAATTAGTTAATTAACCATTATTACTATGTTCTATAGTAATTTCTCTGATTGTTTCGAAGTAATCTCTTAGAGTTATTGAGTATGAAGGAGGGAAAACTCCCTCATGATTTCAGGTGTACACTGTAGAAGTCATAATTGATCGATCACTGGGTGGTGATCAATGTCATGCTTGTCTAGTCCTTATTAGTGCAGATCGAATGCTATCGATCATGTTGCAATGTGGCCACCAGTCTAGATGACTTGACACTGCGGGCACTATGTATTGAGATGTAGATGGTGGTTGGAGGTAGTCAACAGGAAACCCTGGACCCGGGTTTCGTGCTACTCGACTGACTGGCCACATTGCAACATGATCGATAGCATTTTGTCTGCACTAATAAGGACTAGACAAGCATGACATTGATCACCACCCAGTGATCAATCAATTGTGATTACATCTCAGTCCTACAGGAGGTCAGTCGCGGCTCGGATAGCTCAGTGGTAACGTCTCTGAATGTGAAGCTGGGTGACACGAGATCGAATCCACCAGGGAGCACCAGTTCCCTCAAGATTACAGGTACACCTTGCTGACGAGTGCCAAGTGGCACGAAACCCGGGTCCAGGGTTTCCTGTTGACTACCTCCAACCACCATCTAAACACTGTAGAAGTTTATAAAACCTATATCAAACAAAGCTTTTTATTAATTATTTTGTGTGAATTCAACAGAAAAAGTATGTAGCCATAACAAGTATTTGTCAACTAAGTTATTTTTTAATCAACTCCCAAACATTTGAATGAAATTCTCTGCTTGACTATTTGAAAATAGGAACGGGTAATTATTAGCGAACTGGAAACCACAATTGTGTGTGATTGCGTAATCTACTTTTAATCATGTTGTTTGTAGAGCTGTAGTGAAAACATCCAGCTTTTAGCTGAGTTAGGTACCAAGTGTTTGATTCATACTCTTATCTACTTCAGTTTTGTTAGCTGGATAATATTATTAGCCAATTAAACAAGAAAGCAGAATACCTAAACTTGTTCTTACTAAATGAGTTGCATCATCAACTATTTATAACATCAATTTATTTTTAGAGTACTATTTTCGAAATATCAACCCGATTCTTATTTGTACGTACTCTTGCTTATACATACATCATTTTCGCGCATATTTTTACATGTTATTGAAAGAAATGTTTTAACATACCAATTATATGATGTTTCATCCTTCTCAATATGCTAAATAATTTAGGGAGGGAGCTGAATAAAATCAAAATCGTTTACATAACAATGAATTTTTAATATCATATTTATCACTGCCACAAGTAGGTTCACAAAGCATGATTGCGAATGTCTACAAAGCATACCTCACGGTACCTTGATATTGATGATAGTTGTTAGCAATATATTTGTTTGAAGTCTTTTTGTTTAAGAAATGTCTTTGTTTTAATGGTCACTCAGAATAAGTTCTTTAATAAGTACTGCATTTACATCATTTATGCCTTTTCTAACATCAGGTTCCAGTTTAGACTCAATTGGTTCATTAGTCGAGGAACTAGTTCCAATTGCTGCATTGCATCAAACAGATGAACCGGTTCCAGATGTTAATGATATACAAGAACGTGACGAAGCCCATGTAGTGTTAAAAGCAGCACGATACATGAATATGCTGCCAAATAATGGTGGTTTCAATGGATTAGTCTATGATATTGATGATGAATATGAAGATAGCGATGAAAGTGATTTTTATGAAGATGTCGGCGGTGGTGGTGGTGCTCAACATAGTTTTTCTACAGATGATTCAACTGACAGCGGGGCTTCTATTGACAGCGGTGGTGTAAGTACTAAAGTAAAGCGTAGAATTAAAAAGAAAAGTCGTTTATCTACTGTTATGGGTAATTCCATTTCCTCTACATCTCAGTTGAGAAGTTATGATTCATTGCGATCTGGTAGTCCGCTTCATTTATTAACTCCTAGAGAGGCTGCCAGTTTGGCCTTCTCTAAACGTGCAGCTGGAAATATTGAAGATGCTAGAGATTTAGTAGCGACAGCTGGAGAATTAAGACGTCAACGTGAACTGTTACTTCAAAGGACAACTCAAGATAGTATACGAACAGAATCTCGTTCAAATTTTTCTCAAAGTGATCCTACATGGTCTCGTAAAGCTGTTGCTTCAGGATCAACAAAACGTGCTTGTGTGGTCACTTATTCTGGAACAGAGGATAGTGAGTCACAAGATTTGTATAATACTGTCGAACTACGCAGTCAAGGTTATACACAGTCTAATGTTTCTTCAATTGAACAACAACAACACCAGCAACAATTAAAATTATTCATGCACCATCTTTGATGCCATTGAATTCAACAAATCCTCCGGTACAAGTTTCTACCGTAATGACTCCAATCAATACTGCTGCCAATTCCTTACAATATGTATTGATTAAACCTTCTACAAGTATTGGTCAAACAGTTTACAACAATGTAATGCCTACTGTTCAACCAACTTTCAGTTATACTACAACACCATGTGTTACACCTATACAAACAATTCTATTGTACAATTGTCCTTGCCATTATCAAATAGTGGTGTGAATGGTCAAAACTTAATAACAACAAGTACTGCATCATCTACTGCCTCTGTTGCTACGACTAATACTACTATTTATCCTATCCGTCTATCCAATAATATTCTGCCCAATTACATATCCTCAGTAAATGATGGCAAGGTTAGTCTTAAATTTATTCAGTATCCTTCCACTAATAATGATAGTAATAATAATAATAGTAATGCAGTCATAATCAAATTGCAATAACTATTTGGACTCGATTTCTTTTGTTTTAATGTATATCAGGCGGTTTTATGCTTGCTAAGCTTGTATATATATGTGTGTGCGCATTGTCTTCATTGTTTGTGCTTTCCTTTTGTATTTTCTTCCTCTCCAGTGATTTCTATTTTTATACATATATCTGTTATATATATTGTTGAAAGATGGACAATTAATAGTAATGGCTTATGGTTCTTTTTCTATCTATATGTCCTGTTAAATAAATATTGAGAAATCAACAACTCATGACTACATCAAGTTTTACAAATATACACACTTTTTTGTATATAGATGTGTGTATACACGTATTTTTGCATGTACAATATCCCATTATCTGTTGTTTGACACCAGTGATAAAAAATGGTGTTGCTGTGTATTGACAATAGCAATAACTTGTGTGTTTCTTCATATATTAAATTGAATTTAGATTAATTCAGCCCTAACAATGCTCTATTACTTTTGACAACGTTTCTATGCATGTATTATTTAGTTTGTTTTTTCTTCTTTTAAAAAGAACATTTCTACTGTGTGTATACGTGTGTAATTTCCCAATATGACCATCACCCCTCATAGTTTTCACAATGAGTTGATTGTGAATTATTCGTTTTTGTTCGTTTTATTTCACAATATAAGATATGATTTATGAAACTGTCAGTTGTATGTGTTCGGTTATGTGTAGTTTTCTTTTTCCCTCCGTTTGTATTCCAGTAATTTGTTCTTGTGAATTTGAATGAACCGTTAGATATATTTCATATCGTTTCATTATACTTGAGTAACATGCTTGGTATACATTTTTTATTTGTTTATAATTATGCATGTACATATGTAGATTTATATGCAAGTGTGTATGTATATATATGTACGTCAGTTTTTGTTTCCTTATTGTCTAGAAGGGATTGTCAATGAGCATTTTGTATAGCCGTTCTGTATGCGTTAAGCAATAGAAAAAGAGGTGGGTCGACAGTGAAAAAACAATTCAATATGTTGCATCATATCAAAATATTTCTCGTAAAGCTATAAAAGAGTTATTTTTGGGTTAATGAATCGGCAGGTCTATAAAAAGTATACAGTTCAAAGGACAAATAAAATATGTATGTAGCTATTTATATGACTAACTATTATCTTGATTAGTAGATTTTTTATTTCAATAGGAAAAAGGTCTAAACTTTGATTTCCTGTAAGTATGCACTCATCAGCAAATTGTATACCTATCAAATTGATGAGAGCAATATGACATTAAGAAATTTCTCTATCGTTGAATTACTTCAATATTATTTGTTTCAAATACTGTCAAGCTTTTAAATCTGGTTTTACGTTCGTAGCTTTTCTTTAGAGTTTTACAACACTTAGAACTCAATAAAGTCATTCATTAATTATAAACTTTGTTGCATTCATGTACAATTAGTCAGTTTAACTGAATTCAAATAAAAACATCGTATGTCGTAATCAAATTGTACTGAGAAGAAAAGATTGAAAATAATAAATGAAACTTTGTTTACACTTGTTTAAGAACAATTAAGCATAGTGCTTAGTAAACACTTTTAACTACGTTTTATGGTCATTAAATCTTTGGGTAATTAACCGTTTTTCTATATTGTGTGACTTTCCCTCCATAATAAATGTATACTACCTCATGATTCATTAAATAATCTTTTCAAAAGAACATTTCAAAGATTATGCGTCTTATTACCGTAGACTCATAGCTTTAAGGATTAGGTGTTAATCGCTGAAAAATTAGGTGTTAACCAATCAAACTGATGGATTAGTTCCATTCCACCTCACATAATTCTTCATTTTAATAATTGGATAGTACTTCTCAAACTTCAGATACATGTGCAACTCAATCCATAATAAATTTATTCATAGCTAAATTCATTACTTATATCTCCCATCATTCTCAAATTCTAAGTGTATTGTACAGTAAATATGAAAGAGAAAATGTAAATAATTTTCTTAAGAGACTGTGTTTAGTTCCTGCTTGTTTCTAAGGCGTTATGAATTCATTTAAAATGATTTTTCAGATCATTTTCAATAACTGTAGTGATATTTTCACAATGTTTTTTGAACAGAATTCATATTACACATTTGTTACTTGGTATGTTACTTTTTGACTAATGTTTCATTCTTGAAATTAAAATCATTCTTCGTCTCATAAAACACATTTGTACTATTTGTCCTCAGGTTTATTGTTATTTGATAATATAACACATGTATCCACTCAATATTTATACTCTTAATTTCACTTGTTCAGTTACTGAGTCACACTATCATTATGTTAGCTATGTACCTTCCTGTTATAATGAATTACTTAAGTTTATTTCCCGCAAGTCTTCCATGGTTTTTCATTGAATAGAAGTAGGTTATTCCCTGCGATTTGATTTGTAAATAGTTTAAATTACATTATTATTTATTTTATAGCTCTAGTTATTCTGCTTTATTTCAAACTTTTCCACTTGATTAGATGATGACCTTTGCTACTGGTACTCCTTCTAATACGTATACAAATCACTTAATAGGCTTTCCTAATACAACTCAAATGTTTCCAAATGTTTATCAAGTTGATCCCAATTCAATTATACCTGGCCAAACTGCTCCACTTGTCTTTGGATCTTCTTTACTCACTTCATTTCAACCTACAAATAATGTTATACATCCACAGATACATTTACCTGCCCCAAGTGTTCTATCTGGTTCACCAAATATTTTTGTTGGAAATTTCCCTCCAGGTATTACTTTAAAGACAGCACCTGTACAAACAGTCGGAAGTGTAACTTCAATTCCTTTCACTCCAACATTTGCTTACCAACAACCTGGAGGTTATAATTAATACTAAAAATACAGATGGATATAATCATTCTTTTTTTTGTCGCCTCTGTCTTGCACACACAACAACAGTAAATCTCATTGTACATAATACAGCACATACTAGATTTTCTCATTGTGAATACTCGCCAAGAAAAATATCCAATACAGTGCATCAATCATCCAGTATATTTCTTGACTTTATTACACACACAGAATTGTATCTAACATACATAATTCCCTTAAAACTTGATTTCATCATTCTCAACATTATAAAAATAAATACTATTTCAAAAGAACTTGTAAATTGAAATGTTTTATTTTCTGAAATTACTTTTAGTTGTTTCAATTATTCATGTTTGAGCAGTTTTTTTTTCTTCACTATCAATGATACTATTTCTCTCATTGAAATCATGCTAATTAGACCACTATCAATATTGAGCCGCTGTTTTGTTTTCTTTTTAATGAAAAAATAAAGAAGACTATGTATGCATTTATTGTTTATTATGTCACGTTTTTCTGTTTGTTCGTTCAGTTTTTGTAATTTTTATTTCATTCAAATTTAATATCTAACTTTTGTGTTACCTCATCTTTCAAAATTTAAGGCGAAACAAAATTGAGAACATAGTTTTTTCTAGGTTTAAAAATCCATCTATCTTTGCCGTAATATATATTGTTATATATGTTTGTACCTTTTGAGACATGTATTACGTGGATAGTAGAAGTGAATCTTTTTTTTCCAAATTAGTTGTTTAGTTTTTGACGTTTCTTTAGAGTTAAAAATGATCTATGATTTCTAGTTGAACTGAATTAAATGGATCCGTTTCGTGTTGTTTTGATATTACATCAACTTTGTTTGTTATTTGAAGTGAGATAATATTCAAACTAATTGTCTAGTTATATTTGTATATTTAGTCTTGATGAGTGTTAGGTAGTTCGAGGTAGTCGATATGAATACCTAGGCCTAAATTTCGTGCTATTTAACACTCGTCAGCCAGGTATACCTATACTGTTGAAGTTGCTGCAGCTCCCTGGTTCATTCAATTTCATATCACCCCGCTTCACATTTTCATACGTCATAGTTATCCAGGCTGAAACTGGTCTGTAGAATAGATGTTTACAATCGACCGGTACATGAGTAGAGACCATTGTCATGTCTGTTTAGTTCTTTATTACTGATCGAATTCATTTTCTGCTTATGTATTAGGGTTTTGACACTCGTGTGTTGCTTTATATACTTCCGAAATACTTTGATGCTGAAAGACTATCATCCAAGTACTAAGTGTTATTAAGCTCAAATACGTAGTAAACTTCCGGATAGTTCACTGTAAAAATGCAAACGTATTAGTATCCTAGGCATCCTACTTATGATTCATCAGTGAACACTCCTAATTGAAATCGGATTTTCGAAACTCATAACTAAATAACAAATTTCTGATGTGAAACTTTATCGTATGCTGAGAAATTCTAAAATGTAAACCCGGAAATATGATTTAGAGTTTGTATTATTTTATAGTTTTCCATATATTATTACGTTAATAACTCGTGTTTGCTGTTTAATTACCATATTTGTTGTATGTTACCGTTTGGCTTCATTCAACAAACAGGAATCTATATCTTAAGATAGTAATGCAAAACTATCAACCAGTTTAGCAAACAGGATGACTCAACCAACGTATACCTCATTGTTCAGTAATTGTTAATGTCCTATAAAATTAGCTGATCACTATGCAAATATCAATCGGTTGTGTCACCGCCTCAGAAAGACTTTTCAGATTCTCATGAACATTTATTGACATGTTTTCCAAGATTTTCAGAATTCACATTTTTAATTAGCTATTAATAAACTATTGTGCTTGTAAGTATAATTAACAACTACACACTTATTCTTCAGTAAGAAATATCTTGTAAATGGGATCAAGTACGTTATTGGTGTGTTAATTTGAAAACATGCACTGGCATGGAGGAATTGGAATATCTTATCTCCGTGATGCTTTGCGCCTAGTCATTTGTTTCACCCAAAACTTTCACATATATTGGTATTATTATAGGTTACATAGTTATATACTTTCGTAAGTCGGAGGACAAACTGTTCTATGTATAGGAATTTTTCTGCAACCACCAGTAATTTAAACTGATTTTTACAGTTTGAGCTCTATGGACATTTTTTGTTGATCTGTAAAATTGAGATCTGAGTTTTTTCTAAGATTTTGTACAATTATTGATAAGCTCGTGTATATATTCATATGGATTGAAACGTTATTCTTCTAGTCCTAAAACCACCTTTAAATCGTTGTTCTTCAGTAAAAGTACTTTTTAAGTTTAGCAAGTATGACGCAGCAGTGAGGGAGTAATCTCAGCTTAGAAGGCTGTTAAATAAAGCAGTATTACGAGAATGCTTAATACAATATTAAGTTAGGTTCTAGAAGCCTACATTGTAACTTCGAGTCTTTAAAGTTGTGCATTCTTTCAAATAACTTGGAGCTCCTAGCATAACCAATTACAAACATTTGTTATGAGTTTATCAATAACTCACACTAATTTGTGTTCGTGGGTCTGCGTCAACACCTGAACTAAGGATAGGGAGTGAAGTAGTCGAACGTGTTGACAACTTCACTTATCTTGGAAGTCTGATCAGCCCTAATGGGTTGGTGTCTGACGAAATCTCAGCACGGATTCGAAAAGCTCGCTTGGCTTTTGCCAACTTACGTCACCTATGGCGAAGGCGAGATGTCCGTCTATCAATAAAAGGACGAGTATACTGCACGGCAGTCCGTTCTGTTTTACTTTACGGCAGCGAAACATGGCCATTAAGAGTAGAAGACACTCGTAAGCTACTAGTATTTGACCGCAGATGCCTCAGAAATATTGCTGGCGTCTGCTGGGATCACCGGATAAGTAATAGTGAGGTTAGACGCAGGGTATTAGGGAAGGATGGTAAATCAGTCGATGAGGTTGTGAATCTTCATCGACTGAGATGGTTGGGCCACGTGTTACGTATGCCTGAACACAGATTACCACGAAGTGCAATGCTAACCAATGTTGGAGATGGTTGGAAGTAAATTAGGAGCGGCCAAACCAAAACGTGGTATCAGTGCTTGAAGACACTAACCTATAGTCTGAGCCATGTTGGTAGGTGCAGACTACTTGGTTGGGGTCCGCGTGACTATCGTAACCAATGGTTGGAGACTCTTGGTGACATGGCTCAGAGTCGGTCACAATGGCGTCGGTGTATGCACTCTCTATCTTCCTTAAACTAAGAGATTAAAATCGCTTCATATCTTTCTTTCTACGAACTAATTCTTTCTTCCTGTACTATATCCTTATATGCAATCTTTCTTTTATATATTACCACCTCTGCATTAACTACTTTTATGAATCCGGTGTCCATCTTTTTGTGTTAATGAGGTATGGCAACTTGGACCGATGCATATATGTGCCTGGTCCTACGTTGTAGCTGACTGACTGGGAAATGAGAATTAAATTTTCTTGACTGCAAAGAAACAAATACATTACAATGTATTTTATGAAAAGACACAAAAATGGGTTCTGCTTTACAACTATTAAACGATTTGTGGAATAGTAAATTCTTAGGCGTCTTTAGAGTTAAATGACACCAATATGCAGACATGTGTTTTGATTTCTGTAAAGTAAGCTAAGTGCGAGCCTTATAGTTTTCATATACAAAGTTTATTACTTTTTATTGATAAAAATAGGATGCACCCAGCATTTCTGCATATATATTCAAGAGATAAGGAATTTAAGGTGTCTTTTTCTGCAGTAATAGAGAGTGGTCTTGTCAGATCGTAGGAATTTCGTCTACTTCTTAGGTGTATTAATCTTTGAAATTAGTAATCTAAATATAACTTGCTCTCTGAAGTTTCAACCAATTCTACCTGGCTTTACTTAGTAGTATTTTAACATCTAGCGTTCCTACAAACTAAAATGCTAGTCTTATAATCTTCTTTTCTAAGGATCTAAACCAGTCTAGAATGACCGATATACTTTAATAATTAGGCAGTCATCTCATCTCTATAATAAATAAGTCATATCGAGAGAAATATTCATAACCTTACTATAATAAAGACAAGCAACAACCCACAATTTGGCAAAAAGGCTAAAATATCCGTTTTATCTACATTTGAAAGTCTTTTTTTCTTGTTGACATGGGTAATGGTAAAACCGAGATTAAAAGATTATATTTTCATTTTGCTCTACTTTTTTGTCTTTCTGCTAGTTGTCACCTTTGTTGGCAGCGGTGTCCGCTTCATATGTTTTTTCTTGGAATATCTTTCCGACTTGTCATGAAGGTTTTGTAATATTTGGTCTGTAATATTATATTAGTTTATAAAACAAATTACCTGTTAAGTTAGGGTAGTACTGTTCAAAGTTTTCAAGCATAGGTCGGATATTCACTTGTTGATCTGACTTGTCTCCTTATTGCTGAAAAGTTAACTATTATGTTTACCTTCAATAGCTACAAGAATGTAGACGCCACCACCTTCAAGACTTTGGACAGTTTGCTGGTAATTTTGTGAATCACTTAATCCTAAAAGCCTTCCCGAAGTGTCACATAAGTCAAATGTAACTTTTTTGTAAATGCTCGTTAGATAAACACATACTTTCAGGGTCTATGTCGCAAGCGGTTACGATATAGTTGAGTAGAATTTCAAAGGAACACCACATATTGACTAATACTTTTTTGTTTTCTATAATACGATGTTAGTACTATATCTACTGTAATACCTCCAAATCTGATCCATATAAATGGTCTACTGGTTGGTAACATACCTATCAACTTTGTAATTTATCTGACAAATTGACGACTAGTTCGATCTATTCGTGTGTAAGATAATTTCTGCTGTTCAGTACCCAATAAATTTGTCACAAGCTTTTATAAACCGATTGTTTTCTTTGCTCTCGCTTCTTGTTTTTTCGGTACGGTCTCAGGTATTTGGTAACGTCCGATGGGTGATAGTCCAACCACTCGACTGAATTAATCCTACTCAGTTTAGTAGTTACCTAAGAATTTGTATACCTTGTAGTTTGGGTGAGTGTATTTGTCCCAGAACAGTAGAATTTTTGGATACCAGCAGCTATCACATTATCAAGCAGAAAGTTGGTTGTTTGCAATGTGGAAATAATGATTTGATAATTCATGTGCTAAGGGAAGATAACTATTTTAAGGATAAATAAATAATTTACTTGATTGGTAATGTGTAAGAGGACGAAGTTGAAAAAAATAAGAGAAAAAGAGATAATTATATGGAAGATAGGAAGTAGATACTGATATACGGTAATGACAACCGGGGTATTTTATGAAACATGTATTAGACACGGCTGGTTCGAGTTGGTTGTCCATAAATGAGTATTTGTTTGTCAAGTCTTCTCTTAAAGCTATTCAGTGATGGGGCTGTCGTCATTTAGTCTGCGAGAGCATTTAAAATGGGGACAACCCTTTAGTGATAAAATTGAGCGCATACCTCGATTTTCACTATTTGATGTGCAATCTTTCAAGAGCTGTCTGGAGGTGCGTGGTGATGACGTTCTCGTAATATGTTCGTTTTGGGGTGGCTCGGTGCACTTAATATGTTGTACGCTATTATCAAATCACCTCTTATTCTCTTGCAGAACATGGAGAATGATCACTGGTGTTGTGGCCTGCCCTGATATGATTTATCTTTTAGCCCTATCAATCACTTGATTGCTGGTTTAAGAGAAATATGTCTTATGAAGAGTGAGGCGCAACGATATTGTGTGCTTTAGGGTGAAACCGGGCATACGTTCTAAACGGTATTAGCTAAATCTCTGTGGTGATTGCATCATGTTGTCTTTGCATAAAGTGGTGAGTTGCGTTTCACATTTAGTGTGTTTGATGTTTAGGCTCACCGTGGTCGCGAGCTTGAGGAAACGTCCTAAGGACATAGTCCACTTCTGATCAGAAAACTTAATTATGTCCGAGAATATCTTTGCCATGATCTTATACTACCTAGCTGACATACTGGCGCTTTCTTTGTGATACAAATCGGTTATAACCAATCTGGAATATATGCCAGATTCGTGTGTCTCAGTCTATTTAATTTTCGTCGCATAAATAATTTGTGTAGATGAACAGAAAGCATAAAACTGAACAGTATCATTTATTGGCCAAAAAATCGTATTTATTCTACTTGCTATGTAATTTTAAAAAGTAGTCTTTGCCACAGTCATAACAACAGGAAAAAAACTTATTTAAACAAAAAACGGTAAGTTGATCACACTTTTCGTCTATATTTAAAAAAGGAGCTTTAAGTACAGTCATGGTTGTGAGAAAATCAGTTACTCATGGGATAAATACAAAACATCCGATAGACACGAAATTGTAACGTCGATATTTAGTTGAAAAAAGCAACAAAATAAAGAAAAATAAGGGCAGTCAACAGGTAAATAAAAGCAACGCCCCGTTAAAAATTAGTGTTGAGACGTGTCAAACCGTCTGCTTTTTTGTCTGTCAGGGAGAAATTATGCACAGTTTTCTGTTTTTTTCTATCCTGTTTCAGATGTCTTTGAGTTGTGTACTTTTCGCCAGCTTTTCTTATTTTCTGTCGAATCGTCCACTGTTCGCATGAACGCTCGACTAGCTTTCCAGTATATGGTTGATTAGGCGCTTTATCGTTGTTATTTGAATAGTTTACCACTAAACACTGTATTTTCACTAGTTAACTTGAAAAGTATTTTCTAGTCGTACATCCCTTCTTGTACACAATCATTTTTTAACCTATATATATAGAGAGATTGAGAGTGATTTATCGGATTGTTAGTCTTGTTTAGCTGCTTCAATCCTCTCGTGTTTGGTCAAGGTTATTTAGTTTTTAGAGCTTACTTCAAATTACAACGGACTTGATTTCATTATTATAACCTTCACTGAATTGCTTTATTTTACTATGAAACTGACTAATAATTTTATACATGTCATAAGAATCTTTTGATATTCTTTCAAGCTACGGTAATAAGGCAGACTCTCTATCAACCTGTTACTTACTGTATCTATATTACCATCTCTTTCCTATCTAAAGTACTCTTAATACTTTATCTGCTTATCTCGTTCGCTTTCGGATTGAAATCTGTATTTAAAAGAGAATTAAGTATATCGAATGTTTGACCTTCGTTCTGTATTTTATGATACCTGTCAAACGCTCCTGTGGTTTGAAATTCTGGCTTTTACCTATATACCGGTCATACGTAATCCCATATTTATAAGAAGTTCTTATTTTAGCACTTTTTTTTACACCTGTGGGTACTAAGAGAGTATGTTGTTTTTGATGGAATTTCGTTTTCTGGTCTGGATTGTTTAGTCGTAGAGCTTTCATCGTTCTGCGGTTTGTGTTGATGATGTTGTTCAGAAGAACGATAAAAGCTCCACGACAAAATCATTCATCTCACGGATCAAAACTCCATAAACCTCATCCACCTGAGCTACAAATCTTTACCAAATCGGAGTATTTTTTCCTCTTCACTGAACAACATTTTACTCAATCAATTGATAATTTGTAAACAAAGAGAATCTGGCTTTGAACAGCACTTACACGTATCTTACGTAAAATGGGTGCACTCCTCCACAGACTGTTATGATAGGCTAAGTTGCAAGTGCAAGTCCTTAACAGTCAAGTCAATGAACCTAAGAAATTAGATCGCTATTTAACGAACTTTGAAACCCAGGGGCTAGTAAGAATGATAATTTAAATATACCCAATCTCACAATAGGTGTATAGAACATCAAATATTACGAGTACGTTGTGGAAACTATCACATGTGGTGAAATAAGTGAGCAGTTTCGGAACATTAAATCTGTTCCTTTATTTCATTTACCGACTCTTTTCGAATCTTAAATAATACAGAAAACGGAAATGGCCAATAACATAGGAGAAAATATACGAAAAATTATAGACAAGGTACTACAAAAGACACTTCAAGCGTGAAACAAACAAATTTCGATTGATACTACCTCTAGATGAGGTAAAAACATCAATTTATCATAGGTAGGAATAGCTGGATGAAGATTTGGTTTGTTATTCCCAAAGCTGTCGGATTCGAACTCCTGCAGCCAAAAACATACCCACACTAAATCCACAGATATGGTAGTGGAGATTCTCAAAGCGGTTGTGTCATGTATGAAAAATCATCAGCTACGAATGAGTGACCATGTATAAAGTGGGAATTATGCGAGAGATGCAGGAATTGCACTCCGAATTGCGCATCAATATTAATACACGCTCCTGACAAGTAGAGGCTGAGCTTTGTCTTCCGTGAGGCAGAACAATCTTGTTATTCGACAGCCATCTGATACGATAACCACCCAAATGATGTATTATGTGAATGGAGAGGGAAACATCTCTCAAAAACCTAGCGGCTACAAGGAGCTTGTTCAATTCTGATTCTGCAATCAGCAAACTAGAGCGATAGCAGAAAACAAGTCGAAATGATCAACGTAATATGCGGGACGACAGAGACACATAATAGAAATGTTGGATCTAAAAAGCAAAAACGGAATTACGTTACATGTGAAGTCGGAATGGGATATTTTGGCTTATAGTAAACATATACACGCAGTAAAACCTTTGTGAGTGTAAACATTATCTTTCAGTGTTTGATAAAAATGAGTAATCCATAATTATAGGGCATTTTCACCATCATTTAGTGCATGAGGGCTGAGCGTGATGTTAGTCATCTGATGCTTACGACAAATGCTTTGGACGGACTCTATATTAGCGCAGTAACGGTTCGCGTAAAAGGATACTAAGTAAAAGCTAGAGCTTGGGACGAAATCACTAGTCAAAACTGCGCTCTTATATGTAGCATTCACTGAAAAAGTGGGCTGGAAATAACTCAGATGCATATTTCCTAAACATTAAGATACATATGTGATTGTAATGTTGAACAAATCGCTCAAGTGGTTTCGTAAGTCTGCGACGTTGATGCTGATGTCATCAGTTTTACTGGACTCACCGCTAGCCTAAGTCGATTTGGGATCCTTGAATAAGAAGAGATTTTGAATGACTTTAGGAGCTAAAAAGCCTTTAAAGGCACAACGAGTTATAAATGGACTTTTGACTATTTCATTTGTTTTGTGTCTACCACATGAACTCAGATCATCGCTAACAAAAGTATTATAAAAAGACCATCTGTTCAGTGCCTGTAACACCTAATGTAGCTACGATAGGTTCGAATGTACGACATTCCAGGAAGTATGAAAATACAGGAGAACTGATGAGACAAAACCTTAGTATCAAAATGCTCGGAATACCTGTGCCTCGACTCTCCGTAAGTCTAGAAGGTTGTACGAAGAGAAAACTGTCAAAGAATCCATAGAATGCCCTGAAAGTTTGGTCATCAAGGTACATATACATACACGATGAATAATAATGAGCTACCTGTTGTCCAGACACATAATGATTTAGGAGTCATCGTTAGTCAAGACTTAAAGACTATTACACGCTGCCATGCAATAGCCGCCACAGGTTTTAGATATTCATGTTCAGTACGTAGGGCTTTTAGTCATGGCGACGCTAAAACGTTTTTGACTTTGTATACAGTGTTCGCACGTCATAAACTGGAGTACTGCTTACAAGCGGCTAGCCCCTGCCAAAAAAAGACAGTAAGCTTCTGGAACAGATTCAGAGAACGCAAAGCTCCTGTATGATGCTCGGCTGACCAAGTTGAACCTATTCCCGTTGTTATATCGAAGAACTAGAGGTGATTTAGTTACATTTTTCAAATTTACTGATGAAAAACTGCACCTGATATGCCCTCATTTTTCTTGTTTTGCAAAACAGAGAAGTTACGAAGACACTTTGAAAAAGTTCACAAGCCCAGGACAGTTTATTTGTCAGTTGACTTTCGACTTTCCCATAGAATCATTATAAAGATGCCACAGGTATTCAGAGTTTGACAACGCTTTAACCAGTAACACCTAATATGAAGCGTACCCACCAAGTGGAATCAGAAGACAGAAGCGAGGAAGTTTGAAGATATATATATATATCGAGAATCGTCTGATCTAATCTGGCTAGCGATTGCAGTAGATGTTGACCTGGTGCGGATACATGACCGAGCGCCTTCAGCTAGGTGAGTCCATTAAAACATATGATCAGCATCCAATGCCAAAAACTTACAGAGCTATTTATTTTGGAGAATTATTTACCGCTACAGATCACTCCCACCCTAGTGGGATAGTAATGACCCTAAGACATGGCCAGCCAGAAATTTAAATTCAACGAGTTTTGTCGTTGGTAAGCACTTCTGATAGCTTGCTAGGTTTAGCAGCGTCTGGTCGTCTTTCCTTACTATAAGGGACCATAAAGTACAATATAGTTTAAAAAAATAGTGTACAATGATAATCTTTGGTTCATCGTTAACCTCATCGTTCTTTTTGTAGTATTTTCCAGCCGTCCTGGAAAAGACAAAAAAGAATATGTAAGTGCATGTCGAAATAAACTTGTACGCGCTTTAAGACACAAAATAGGTGAAAAAGTATTAATAACATAAAAGCGAATTTTACAAAATGTGTTTTTTGTTTTTTTATACCTATTAGCCAAATAATAAATATATATAAATATAAGCATACAAAAATCGATTTTTTAATATTATATATATGTAGGATCCAAACCACGTTTGGATTGCTGGACAGCTGCCTGGATAAGTTCGACACGCGCCCTCGCCCGTTTGAAACCAAAACAAGGTAATTGGGTAAGATAGCGGTTCTATAATTTATCATAAATTTAAGTATACATTATTACCTAAACAAATATAACCACACAGCTATCCAACCAATAATTGTTTAATTGATCAAATCTAAACTACAATAAATAAGAAAGTTGATAAAGAATGCAAGAAAATTACCAATCACCACAAATAAATGTTATTCTATCCTGTCTGGATAGATCACGTACAGATTCGTTCAAAAGGTAATAATTGGTCGCTCTATAACACAGAGTGTTTTCAATTCTGGAAGAGTGCTTCAATTCACAACCAAAATGCACAATTCCAGTCAACACAGGTCAAGCAATCCAAAGCAAGGATAAACCAAAATGGCTGCCGCCCAGACTTAGTATAAAGTAAAACAACATAAGTGCAGTTCGGGAAAAAACATGGGGAATTAGTGAAGGTGCAGTAAAAGCGAAAACTATAATAAAATACAAATATTAACAATTCAAATGTAGTCCAAAA